TTTATTTTTTCCACTGCAGCTCCATCGACTTTTCAGAATAAACCGCAAGGATCTGATACTAGTCTCCTGCCTTCTACTCCCTGCTGAAACTATCGTGTTGCTAAACAAACGTCGTGCTTCCTTTCTATCTATTTTTTCACAGCATCCGCCGCCGCAGGCATGCCGAGAAGCGTGTCATTACGCGAGCATAAAAGAAATCATCGATAAGGAAGGTGTTGAGAGCGAGATCGAGATACGCAAACTGTCTTAAACCGTATGGCGTCCGAGGTGCTAAGCGGCTCACGGCGAGGTGTTATATGCACAACGTAAGAATACTGGATACGAAACAGTAGGCGTTCGCAAGGTTTTCTTTATCAGACCGGCACACAAATCATTGGCTAGCCGAGAGCCTTACTCGAGATACTCGATCGATCTATAAAATTCGAAATAATTTTCAATGATAAAATAACGCGACAAAGTTCAAACTATGAACGAAAAAATGCCTCGACATTTATATATTTACATTTAGATATAGCGATACTTTATATTAATAGCTTTAAAAGAATGGAACTATAATATAGTATGGAATTATATGTTAATTTTGCATAAAAATATTTATGTAAAAATATGAATTTGCCATTAAATTTGTGATAATCTTTATTCCTCCTTCCTTTAACATCTTCCTACATATTGACATATTTGGAAGTCCAAAATTTCATCTACGTTCTGGTTCTAGTTGAGATTCTCACACAGCGCGTCGCCTAATTTGAACAGAGGAACTCGTAGCCGCAGGCGGCTTTTTACGCGGACTGCGAAGCGTGGAATTAACCGATGCTTCCCCCTTTTCTAAAACCAACACGTAATTATCTCACCGGCGGTTGCGTTCGGCAATTCCTTTCGCCCTGGCCTCTTTTTCCGCCGACAGGTTCGGCAAACGACGATACCCAATATTTACATGGCAGGTGATATCAATTATCGCCCATGAGCCGCCGATGCCCCGAAGCCGAGATTGCGGCTGAATCCGAATCTTGAATGGTTCCTCACCAATTTGCTCGATTCGCGCCTACGTCATTTTTTTTTTTTTCATATCGCTCTAGTATAGTTTGCACGATGTATCATAACTAGTGGTTTCATCGGCCACTGCAACGAATTCAAGCAACGAACTTGCACAGCCGAGATCAATGATGAAGGGACGCTCTGTGTGTGATTTTCTCCCGGAATTTCTTGAATAATTCTCCACAGATTCTCGATGCACGTTTACTGATTAGTAGTTCACACAGTGAAATAAGATGGAGGAATTATCTTTCTTAAAATATATATGCCATTATGACTCTCATGAGAAAAATATAAAAAATAACTTTAATAGACATGTCAATCAATGCTTTTCAAACGCAAAAAGTGTATTATCATACCTTAGACGAAGGAAATTTTGACTCACCCCTCCCCTCCCCCCCTCCCGAACGTGTTCGTAGGGACAACGGGACGATTTTTTTCTTGTTTTCCTCGAAACTGGGCGTAACGTTCCGTTGTAGCTGAAGCAAACGGTGACTCGATAAGCACCGTGATGGTCCCCCGAGGCAAAAACAAATAATAATTCGGCCACGAGAGGCCCACGGTTAGCTACAACGTCCGGCTGTGGTGCCCGTCTCTTGCCTTATTTGTAGGCGACTATCGCAATTTTGAAAATGGTTGTCTCATCACGAAGGGAAGAGCTCGGTCTGGGACGTTGCCGATTACAGGGCGCGCCAATGCTCGTCGTATTTCGGTGTTGGTTTTCGAGCCTTTTGTGTTAAAAAGACGCACGTAATCATCCTCCCCGCCCCCCCCCTCCCCTCTCTTTCTTTCCTGTTCCCTTCGATATTTTTGCGAACACGTAGAACCGAGTAGGGATCCAACGAAGTGGGGAAAGAACGCCCCATAGCCTGCCCCCCTTTCGCCCATCCCGTGACCGCTTCCGATCGCCCCCAGACCGCCCCCAGGGCCCACAACGAGCCGACTGGCCGACTTTTTGCCAAGTCGCGAGCTTAGCATAGGGAATCATCAGGCTTCGACAACAGGTGTCGGGGTGGCCGGTTTTCGAGCGAGTGCGCGAAATTGCAGACTCGCGCCGCCGTCGCCATCAAGTCGGTCGCGTGAGTGACTTTGCATGCACACGCGATTACGCGCTCGTAAACGACGAGCCCGTGTCCGGCCTCATTGCGCGGTTTTCTGTAACCGCGGAGGTGCAATTCATCCGAGGCCACGCGTGACAGCTTCATTTAAGGGCCGGCGATGGCCGACGAGTAAAAGGGAGTATTAATCTCGAAGAAAATGACTGTTTTTAACAAGCGAAGAACGATATTTGTTCATGAAGATGATACAAATCAGTAATGATTATTCACAAAAAGTAATCTTTGCACTGATTTCGCGCGATTTATGTATATACAACTATTTAGATTGCGATGTTTCGTTATATGTCTTGACGTAAAATGAAATGACTTCTTCGAATTCAGGATAAGTAATCATTACAAACTTATTTCGCACGATTGAAATATGCAACTCTGCGATATTTTGTTATATATATATATATATATATATAGTATATATATATTTTTTTTTAGATAAAACGAAAAAACTTCTTTGAATTCAGAGAAAGTAAACTTTACACACTTATTTCGTACGATTTAAGTATACAACTATTTTACGATGTTTTGTTACATTTCTTGACATACACAGAAAATAAGAGGACTTCTTCGAATTGGTGGCCTTTGACGAAATACAAATTTACAAAATCGTACGAGGAATAATCGATTTTCGAAAAAGTATCTCGAGGCCTAAATGCTCCGCTTTCGCATCCTCTTCAATTTTGTTGAAGAGTACACTTTTTACGTTATTATGAATTCAAGTGCATCGAAGAAGCATCGTCGAAAAAAGGGAAAAAAAGAGTAATTTAGTACCTTCGCGGACGAGAGGGAATTTTTCGGCCGCGTTTACGCTAAGGTAGTCTTAAGGGGTCTAAACGCGTGGTTTGTTTTATGATTTATAGGATTTGTCATTGCGTGACCGCGCACTGCGGAAAGGAGGGCCGTTGTTAGCGCGACACGCCGACAAAAGAGTGCACGCACACGCGCACACCTGTGCACCATCAGGCGGAAATTGCGGACGCCTCGTCGGACCTCAAGTATGTTTTAAAAAGATGCGATCCGTTTTTGCACGCCAAATCGGTTTGTCCGCAGAAACGTCCTCCGTTGAGCGCACACACGTGTGTGTGTGTGTGTGTGTGTGTGTGTGTGTGCACGTCCAAGCGTGTGAGCCAAAAATGGGCTCGTTTGGGGCTACAGCAGAACGAAAGAGCGAAACGGGGAATGAAGGCAGCCAGGAAGTGATTCGATGAGACAAAAAGGTTGAGCACAGCTACAAATTCGTTTCTCAGCAAAGTGGCAGCTGTGCTCACGGTCATGGCCGTATCAGCTTTTGAATCACAATAATAAAGATCGTACCGGCGACGTATGTATTATTGATGAATTCGCATTTATCAATTTTTTTGTTCGTTCTCCTTTAAAGTGCATTTTTTCACAACCTCGGACTATATCGTTTTCAGCACGTTTAAGTGTACACGCGAGTTAATCGCTCGTGTATACACAGACGTTTATGAAATTTAAATTACTCTACCATTTGCAATCAGAAACGCATCGACGTATCCAGTAATTTTATAATTAAATATAAAACATGAATTGTGTGTCACTCATTTATTTATTATCGAATTAATTTCATCAATCAATTTGATCAACCGGTGACACATAATTATCCGTTTGCTATCAAACGTACAGCTCTAATGAGCGTTCATAAATATAATTTTCGTTGGATGTATTTCTTCTTCATTAATATGCCGTGGTAAAGTTTGCGAAACAGCGTCATAAAAATGGAAAAATAAATTACGTGGCCGCACGACGATTATATCGTGACAGGAAGACGAGACGAAGGATGGACCCATGTCCTCCCCTCCCCCTCCCTCCCCCCCTCCCCGCCCCCACTCATCCCTGTTTCACTTTGCATTTTCGCGCCTACTTAGTAAGGTCGAAAAGAGAAACGGATGGAAGCGAACGGATGATCGGGCAGCCATTAAGGCGAATCGCGGAGCTAATCGCTGTCGTTGATGGGACATGGGACTGCTCCTCGGAGTCCGCCGGTGAGTGGCTCGGCTGACACGTCAACAAGTGAAACACTTTTTAAGCTAAAGAGTCTTTCGCCAAGAGTGCACTTAAGGACAGATGCAGTTTGCTACTGCATCTCCACGGACACCGTTGTGAGACGGATGATGGAGGAATGGATTTCTGATGGAAATGAATTCATTAAAATAAAATAATGTATGAAAATTACGCGGTTTCTACGTTAACTTAACGTACGAAGTGCTACGAAAGCTACGAGATATAGTCTTCACCCGACGAGCACTAATTACGAGCTTCACGATTACCTGCTTCCTAGTAACGAAGGTCTACCTTTCAAGGGCAAAGATCGTGTAATCTAGAGGAATCGCTTCTCGTGGACGTGGATTGACGGATGATTGATGAGGGCTCACGGTGCCGAAGCACCGCCTACACGATTTTTATAATTAAAGACCGGGATACTAATAGTTATTTTGTTATCTCTCTCTTATATGCCGAGCGCGTAAGGAAGAATTCGTATTAACCCTTCCAAGATGAAAGAAATGAAGTATTGAATTAAATTAATTCTGTATTTTAATTTTAAACCTTTTGATAAATACATACATAATAACATAGTGAACAAGTCATTAAACATGTACGTGTGTATACGATATTTGACAGTATATATATATATAAAACGCATAAATGTGAATTTGACTCTAAAATTAGTCTAATACGGTAAAATGATTATAAATTTATTTAACAAAAAACAATAGAAATAAGATAAATGTATTTATTTATTTTTATATAAAGCTTATTTTTATTTTCATGTTATAAAAATATATAATCATTTTACCGTATAATTTTTATTCCAACGACATTATTATTGTATAATTACTACAGCTTCTTCTTTTGACTGATTGCTTTTGGTATAGTGCTTCGTACATGGGCGTATTTTGGATTTTTCGTAAACTTAGGCCGATAATCGGATGAACCCACTGGTTTATACGGTGATAAATCTACATTTGATACTGAGTGGCATACTTTTGTAGATTCGTTAGATTTTTTAACAGGCGTAACATTTGCAATTGCGCCAACACTTTTACGTCTCTCGAAAATACTATCTTTCATTGCGTGCTGTTTAGACGAATTTGGTGTTTTAGGGGAAGTAGTACTTGGTTTGTGATTGTTAGCCGATGTTCTGGTCTTAACTGAAATGCCACTGGAATTGGAATAGCTATTAATTAAAGATGATTTTTTAGTTCTTGGCGTAACTTCTTTTGGTGATTTTGTCAATTGTAAAAATGAGTGCTGTAACATAAATAAATATAATATAATTCATAAATAATATTTTGTAACACAGATACTTTATCTTAAAATTATATTGCTTATCATATTATTAATATTACTATCATATTCTTACTTCTAAATGATTCAGTTTTGCCATAATGTTCATAACAGACTTTCGTATTTCATTCAATGATATATGAAAAAGATCACTTGATATATCAGACTTTTGTATTTCGTTCAATGATACTTGATAAAAATCACTTGATGAATCTGTTTCACCAATTCTTTCAGCATCTGTGAAATCTTTAAAAACCTCGTTGTTAATTTCCTTCGAGTGTTCCTCGCGAACAAAAGTATCAGATCTGCTAATGTTGCTGCTAACGTAAATCGAAGGATTCGATTGTGAAATAAACTGTAGAATGACAAATTAAAATTAATAATATATTATATAACTAGATAAAGTTAATTTTGTCAACTATGTGTGTGTGTGTGTGTGTGTGTGTGTGTGTGTGTGTGTGTGTGTGTGTGTGTGTGTGTGTAATAGGTAAATCACAATTAATTAGTAATTTGACTTATATTTGACTTGTATATATAAAATTATGAAAGTTAGATTATTCATCGATTAATGATAACATTTGAAAGAAGTAATGCGATAACGAAATTTACCTTCTTATCCTTTTGCAACGTATTGAAAGAATTCTCACGTTCTTTTTTAATATCTTTTAATGAGATATCAGAAAAAGAAGAAGACTCCTCATCCGTAGTAACAGATCGAACATCTTGAAATCTAAATATAAAACTATTGTCATAAAAAATATATATTCATAAAAAATCGTTAGACTATATATGAAAATTTCAAAACAACCTGCGCACATCCTCAACCTTAGGTTCCTGTTTCATCTGTACGACCGAAGATTCTAGAGTGGTAGCAGCGCTTGCGCTATCACATATTTGTAACGGATTATTCTTGTCAAAGTCCTTTTTTATGAGTACCAGAAGCACATGATGTATAGTAGACACTATTTGTTCTTCGGTTAAAGGCGTGATGGCATCGTTCTGAAATATACACGTAACAATCACAAATTATATGAAAAATTTCACAGGACGTGCGATAACTTGTACTCGTTAAACACACGTATACACACAAATAGAGTAACAGTCATTATTCACGTGGACACTATATATTTTATTCTCGGTGATAATATACGGTTCTTAATGGAACGAATACTTACATGCGGTGAAGCGGTTCTTGTGTAACGATTGATTAGACGCGAAAACTCTTGCGCAAAGTTTAGCACGCTCATTTTCGACTTTCTACCGCACGACAGTCTCGAATGATGTACGCAAACGAACCAGTTTCAAATGACTGCTCGATCGAGCGACTTTGTATACAAATTCATCATAATGACCTCCTGATATATATTAGCAGTAACAGCGGATAGTGTTGATAATTCTCTTGTTCTTTTCAACGCACGTTTTCGAAGAGTTACAAATATGTTTCAGAAAAGAATAAACGCGATTTAATAATTAAATATATTTCTGCGTTAGAACCTACTTGCCTGTCTCTTTCTTAAGTATTTTTGCGACACACGTGCCTTTCAATTATTACATTTTCTTTAAGCCTGATTTATATAAGACGCAGAACGCAAATCGCAAGCTTGTTGTGTCAGCCAATCCGATGCGTCAATTTTTAAAAAGACTTCGCGATTGGCTAACGCAACAAGCTTGCGACCTGTCTTATATACAGATCGGGCCTTAGACCAACCAATTCTTTAATAAATACGCGGAAAAATATTCGTCCAGATAAAAAGATTTTAATTTTTTCATTATTTACACAATATAGTAATATTAGTATAAAAATTGCATAAAATCCACTTAAATTAATTAATCAACTTAATTTAATGGATCGATATGAAGTGACGCAATAACATTTTTGAAATCCATGCAGGTTACTCTATATTTGTGGGAATCATCATTTTCTCTGTGTAACTGAACTACTCTGCTCCCACGAGCCATCTCCGAAGTAGTTTCTAAAGTACAATGTGGCCACTCCTCCGCTCTGCCAATTATTCCCTGCCACACGTCGGGCACTGATGGAGCAGCCCGCGAGAGAAGAGGCGTAGGGACATGATAAATCTCCCTCGGGGGAAAAACTAGCCGCCCAAAAATATATGCACGCCGGAGATGGATGGGTGGAGTGCAAGGGCGGTGCCCGGGTACGCAGAGAGAGTTTCGTCTCAGTTTGTTTCTTGGGACTCCTTCTCCGTAACCTGGTCCCTTTCTCTCCCTCGTCCCTTGTCGTCCTTGCGCACAGCGTGGTGTCTTTTTGTGAATTTTTTGGCGATCGACCGATTAGGGGAAGGCGGCGCTCGTCAGTCAACTCGGTGGATGAATCTTCGGCGTATGCAGATATGCGCGTCGCCACTTTGGGGACTGACTTAAAAAATAAAATTGTATACGCGATAAAATTTAACAACGCGTCCGACACTGCACCAGCTGCTCGTTGAGAGCGCGTGTAATGTCTTCCATCTGGAAGCCGCGAGCTAGTATTTAATAAAATACTATAAATTAATATACTTATAAATTAATAAAAGCCGTCATAATCATTGAAAAAGGTATTAAAACTCTTATAAAGTGTTAACTTTTCTTATACTAAACATTCGAAAAGTTTATTCGAAAAGATATTTCTAATTATAAATTCTAATGAATTAAAAGGATCCGATTCATACATATATGATAGAAAACTAAATAAATATACAGTGAGTGCAAAAAGTATTCGTACGGAGAAAATATTTTTTAAAAGCTTTATTTTTAAAAAGTAAATATTATCCAGCGAGAAATGAGTCGTCGAATCGGTATCGATACGATGATTTCAACACCAATTTAACGTTGACGATTCTTGTGTTGGGTAATTAACAATTTATTCATAAAAAATAAAATAGACTGTATATTCCTTATAATAATATTTATTGTTAATTATATTTACCAAAAAGATGTGTATTAATTATAGAAAATATATCATCTGGAAAAAAAGCGAAAATTAACAATTGTATTATTTGGATGCTCAAAAAGTATTTGTATAGTCAAGAAATTTAGCTTTTAAAATCAGGAAAATATGCAAAGCTCGTTTGTTTATGTTAGAACAGAATATATTCATTGATGTATGAAATTGCTAATTAATATTTATTTTCTACAAATAAGACTTTTTTTATAAAAAATTTCCTTGTACGAATACTTTTGCACTCACTGTATATACGAAAACTAGTTTAAAGAACATAAAGATATACAAGTCTATACGTTAGGGTTAGACAGAGCTTGGCCAGTGTTTAAACGTTCGCGCTGCTCAGTCCTAGCAAAATATTCTCTTTTCTCTATATATCTCTCATCGTTGCTTCCGATACACTAATTTCGGCATGTCTTTACAAATGAAAGGCTTCGCTGCGTCTGCATCGTTCCGTAGCAGCTTCTCAAATATTTATTATTTCCGATGCCGGATGTCCTCCGGCCAAAGCTCGAAAGGATACGACACTACGGAGGCGCATTTTCCTTCGCCGTTGCGAACCGCTAATGCACATGCAGCCGCATCCCATACAAGATATGCCGGCGGTCGTTTGAAGTCTGAACATGTTTGAACAGCGGTCATTGTCTTGTCTTCAGTTTCTTCGTTTTCTGTTCTTCGTCACTGCCGCTACTGCCTCAGCACAGCAATCTCAGTTCAGATAAGAAACGAGTCAAGAGCCACGCGAAAAGCATTTTTTACGACTTCGAAGAAGAAGCATTTCGAGCAGCGATACGTTATCATGCAGATTCTTCAATGATAATGAATGAATATATCACGTATAATTATACAACAATCGTTTTTTTTTTACACTGCAGCAATTTTACTGCCATATTAAAAAAAAATAGATGAACAAGAGAAAATCATTACTATTTGATTTAAATGTAATAAGAAATATCACAGTTGTATAGTGTCGGAAATTTTTGAAAATTACTTGGACCACCACCATAAAATCACTTAACTCGACCAGACATAAAGCACGTCTTATTTCGTGACCTAATATTTGACTTTCGCCACATTGGACCATAAGTCCTTCACGTTCGACTGCCGCCGTTTGTTTGCAGTCTGCTTTCGGTTTCGGCTCGCGCCGGGTTGATTTAGGATTTAAGGATTTCCACGTTTGTTATTCGACGATCACGTGAATAAATATACTTGAGATGATTCCTCTATTTAGGCAACCGCGGGTGGGCTCGCCTATTATTCGCGTAGAACTTGATTAACTACTTGCGAATTCGAGAAAAAATTTTGTTAAGTATATTTAAAAATATATTTAGGAATAAGAGTTTTGCACAAAGCAAACATTCAATTCCGAATTTTTTCAAGAATAAAATATTACGAATCTTGCATATTATCTATTATTATTTTCCTGAAAAATGTTTTCCATCCAAACTTAAATTTAAACTATTATTGTAAATTCGACCAGTGATAGTTCAATATGCGAGCACAAAAGATTCGTTTCTTCAGGCGGAAGACTTCGAGTCTAAGACACTCGGTCATGAGAAAGAAAAAGGAAGACTCGGAAGTTCATCGAAAGAACCGGTGGTATCGTCTGTTTGGATAGTCTTTAACTGACCATTACACCTGAATGAACCGCTTCAAAATGAAAAAGGGCAGCCTGATCCCTGATCCGACCGGCCTACTTCCTGTGGAACCCGAATGGGTAGACCCTAGAGACCAACGGTCAATGGTAATAATGACGAATGTTCTCTCACTATGATTCCCGACGAGCCGCGTGTCGTTTCTACGTTTCCAACTGGTCTTACCTGATCTCCTTTTAAGCGTATTCGTCGACTCTTCGGGAATACTCGAAGAATCAACAAGACGCGCAAGAATCTCGGATCGCGTGATTGCAAAAAATCGTAGTATAGTGTCTCACTAACCGCGAGACACAATTTTTGATCTTCCAAGAACGATTCGTTCTACTCTTATGAAGGGAATTCACATCGCTGAATATAACAACGTTACATATGGCTGATGCCTTTGACCACATTTATCCATTATGATTTTTACGTGATTACGTGTGTCTTTCTACCGACAGTACACAATGGGAACTCGTCGTTCACTCCCAAAAAATAATGTAAAACAATACACTTAAGCGCTTTTTGTGCACACAATCGGTCACGTTTGCGAGTGAGAACTGCAATTTCGAAGTAATGATGAACATCCGTTATGGCGCGTAGATTGTCGCTATTATCGTTTACGACTGAAGATATAATGTTATATCGAGAGCAAGTGATCCTTCCAACCACAAACCACATTCACCTTGAGTGTATTAAAGTGTCCAGCATCAGCTACGCTAAGATAGAAAATAACGACCTTTAAAAGTAAAGCCAATTTTGCTTAAATTATATGAGTACACATTATTTGCATACTGTGTAAAAGAACAAAGTACTCGTATATATTATAGTGAGATTGACATTGATAGTAAAGTAACAATAATTTTATTCGTTAATTTAATTTCTTTTCTCTTTTATTCGTTCAATTAGTCTTGCGTTCGATATATTAAAGGAAATAATAAACGCGCTGAGTTTATAAATACAATAATTTTGCAAATTTTAAGTGCCAAGTGTATTACGTGCTCCTTGTAGCAAACAACTTGTCTCATCCATCATCTCCAGCAAGCTGCGACCATCGCCGCTTTACTTTCGTCGTCCAGGGAGTTGTCGGGTTTTAAAAGAGACAGCTCAGTGACATAACACGTCTCGTAAAGGAACACGTTCGGTGCGCGACGAAAACGAGAAGGCCGTTCGAAGGTAGCACCTTTTCTGCTCTTATATGAATTCATCCTTCTTTCTGCAAATCGAAGGGCCGATCTACTGCCCTTGTACAACACCACCGGGCATTGTCGCCTTCCCTCCCTTCCAATCGCTTGGGAGTTGCTTCCAAGGAATTGTCCGAGCACGAAGAAACTACGCAGTAACGTAGTGGGGACGTGAGTCGTGTGGCCGCACGCGTGTTTACTTAGGATCATCCCCCTCGGCCACCGGGATAATTCCGGAATCCCGAGTGCAAATCTCCGAGGCAGACCTGATACGGATTATAGTATGAAAATCGTTGGTAAAACGTGGCATTAGGCAAGGAAGTTGAGGCTTCAAACATAAGCTTCATTTTCCCTATTAAAAATCTTATAAAATTCGTTATACAATAATGAAATGCAATAACGTAAAAATCAAGACATCTACCATCCCGCGTCACGACTTTCACGATTAGGTGCGAGATTGGGACTAATCGACTTCCGCCAATAAATC